TTGAAAAAAAGCATTCCTTTCTTTGTCTAGTCAAACCGGCAGTTTATAAACTGAATCCTAACTTAAATACATTAATATTAATGATATTTCTAAATTTTCTAATGCTTTTCTATATTTCGGTATAGAATCATTTGGGTTTGGACTGATAATCTGCCATTCCAATATTGTTAATATACTATTATTATCATCATTAACAATTTTTTATACAATAAAATAAACGACTCTCTTTCCACAATTTCAACCCTTAATTTACATGTTTGCTTGTGTCTTTCATATCAACTTCTTCCTCCTCTTTTTGTTAGCCGTTATTCTATTTTTACAATGACATTTTTTTAATAATATATTAGATGCTTCCATTTATTGGATGAATAAAAGGATTATCAGATCTAAGCCATAGTTCATTGACAGCCTTTAAATCGAGCAGTAAGTTATAAATAAATAAAATTACTTCCGATAATTTTATTTGACAATTCAATCACCCAGTTTTTAATATTCTGCGTTGTGAAAATTTCTGAAATGAGTGAAAATGTAAAATAATAAAATTAAAATATTTACCGGCAAATTAGAGTCATGATCTACAGGGTATCAGATATATAAATAATTATTTTTGTTTTTTCTATTTGTGCAACAAAATCTTTATATTTTTCTAGAGGTAATTTTTATTTTTATTTTTTTAAAAAACAAGAGATTTAATTACATTGTAGTGTTGAAAGATCAGTGTAAAAGAAAGATTTTCGCGTTCAACTATATTTTTTTTGGTTTGCACACAGTCAGTCACCATATATTATATTTAAACGTTAGATAAAACGCGTTATAATTTATTCATTCCATACAATAATTCATTCATTATTTAATAATTTTAATAATTTTATTTGATTAATTTAATTAATATAATTTATTTATTTATTTATATACTTTTATGTTTACGTGTATTCTCAAAGATTTAATACTCAAAACTTTAAAGTTACATTCAAAATCTTATCATGAAACGTAGTAACAATAACGGTAATCAAAGTTACAATAATATTAAAAAAGCAAGGCATAATCCAAATAATAGTAGTGGCAACGTTTTTTTAACAAGAGGTAATGAAAATTAAAAATTTATATTGATTTTACAAAATATTTTTATCAAGCACTAATAGCTGATTATTATCATAAAGCCGCTCCGTTGAGATTAAAGCAACCCACAAATCGACCTTCAAAAATTTATCAAAAATATTCTACAAATGTTATTAGACGAACTGTATATCTTGGAAATTTACCACCAAATGTAGAAGTTTATAAACTTATAAATCAAATCAAAGTTGGTCCATTAGAGTCTGTAAAACTACATCCTGACAGAATTTGTGCATTCATTTCTTTTATGAATGCTACTCTTGCAAAAGCATTTTATGATGAAGCTACGAACAACCAAATTTTTTATGAAGGTCAAGAACTTTACGTTGGTTGGGGTAGATTATCAGCTGTACCTTTAGGTGTTCAATTAGCTGTTGAAGAAAACAATGCTTCACGTAACGTTCTCCTAGAAAATTTGGATGATTCGATCACTGAAAGGATTTTACATAGAGATTTGGCTGAATATGGTTATATTGATACTATTCAAATTATCAGAGAAAAAAAGATTGGATTAGTTCATTTCTGGAATATTTCAAGTGCCATTAGAGCAGTTGAATCATTACCATCAAAATACGCATACAAAAAGGTTAAAGTTGATTATGCCAAAGACCGGTGTGAAATATATATGCAAAACACTCTCCTTCAAAGCTTTGGAAATAAGGCATCTCATAATCCTTATCTTGATGTTATGTCAACAACTCGTAATCCTTATCTTAATGATGTGACAACAACTCGTAATCCTTATCTTAATAATGTGTCAATTCATGATCATAATCTTAATGCTATGTCATCAATTCATAATCATAATCTTAATGCATGCACTTTATTTCACAAAAGATATCATCCCAATGAAAATCAACACGCATTATCTGAAGAAACTATGGCAAATATATAACGCGTTTGATCTAATGTTTAAATATAATAAATAGTGATTGTGTGCAGATTGGAAAAATGTGAGGACGGTTAAACTCATAATTCTTGCAACGATCTTCTTTCAACACTATAATATAACTAAAATTCTTGCTTTTTTAAAAAATAAAATAAAAAATACCTTGAGAGAAAGATAAAAAAGTTTCAAGATTTGGTTACACGAATAGAAAACTAAAAAAACCTTTAAATCTACGCGTGAAATTCAAATTAGTCAATTAATATTATAGAATTTTGTATCCCGGCTGTATTACATTAATTGTATTAATTGTGACACTTTGAATATTAACCCAAAATTTTAATTATAAATTTCGATTTCACATAGTTTCAATTTCGCATACAATAGTAATATATATAACTTTCCAAATGCATCCATGGTATTTAACATTGATTTTAATTTACCTTTTTACACGATGCCTGCTTTTGTTTTGTGTCTGTCATTTTGAAATATGAATATTGGTGCTTAAGACACAATAGGTACTGACTGTTTTGTCTCCTTTCTTTTTTGGCAATTAATTAACTCTTGCTAAGATGAGGTTATACACACTTGTTGTTCTTGGAGATAGTGGTGTTGGCAAGGTAATAAAGCTTGGGGGGTTTTAAAAAAAGTATTGTTTTAATAAATCCGTTTATTTTTTCTTTAATTAGACTGCTATCACAGCTCAGGTATTATTAACCTACGGTATATGTAATCAGTGAATTTTTAAATGATCGCATATCTACATATCGCGTAACGGGCGTGATAAATATCATTACTATTTTCCCATTGACTAATGCTAAACATTTCTTAAACTTGGCTGGTTTAGTTGTGTTCGAATCAGTTTTGTTGGTATGTATTTTTCAAATTGTATAAATTTTTCCTTTTTATCACGAATTCTATCTATTATGCATTAAACTAAAAATAATTATTATCTTGAATATAGAGGTAAAATATTTTATTTAAAACATTATTTTTTGAACATCTTCTATTCCTATCCAATATATTTCGTTTTTATTTTTTTAGATCCATGACCAAAGAATTGAAGGTTCATATAGAAAACAAGTAGTAATTGATGATCAACCCTGTGTTGAGTTCCTCTTAGAAAAAGGTTACATTGTCCATGGTATTATTCGTCGTTCTTCTTCGTTCAATACTGGTAGACTTGAACATTTATACAAAGATCAACACGACCGTAAGTGTCCAAATAGAAGTTTTTTTGATAAAAATATATGCAAACCAAGTTGATGATTAATAATTTTCTCCCCCTCCCCAAAATGTATCTAGGTCCAAAAATGGTTCTTCATTATGGAGACTTGACGGATTCAACTAATCTTGTTCATATTGTTTCACAAGTACTTCCAACTGAAATTTATAATCTTGGAGCTCAATCTCATGTCAAAGTTTCTTTTGATATGGCTGAATATACTGTGAGTTATAGAAAAATTTAAATATTATATATATGTAATAATGAATGAATGATTTTGCTAATTGATGGATTCTAACTTGGTTATTTTTAGGGTGATGTTGATGCTTTAGGAACTTTACGTTTATTAGATGCCATAAGGACTGTTGGTTTAACAAATCATGTCAGGTTTTATCAGGTAACAGTTCTTTCCATATCTACACTCTGCCTCATTTATACAAATAATTAATAAATCAATGCCATTCTCTCTCTTTCTCCATCTATCCATCTACCCATCTACTTTTTTATGTCTTTATAGGCATCCACATCTGAACTTTATGGTAAAGTTGTGGAAACCCCACAGTCAGAAACCACACCATTTTATCCTCGTTCACCCTATGGTGTAGCTAAACTTTATGCCTATTGGATTGTTGTCAATTACCGCGAGGCATACAATATGTTTGCTTGTAATGGTGTTTTGTTCAATCACGAATCTCCACGTAGAGGTCGTACTTTTGTAACTCGTAAAATTTCTAGAGCCGTAGCTGAAATTCACCTAGGTAAACAAAGCTGTCTATATCTTGGTAACATTGATTCTAAGCGTGATTGGGGTCATGCAAGAGATTATATTGGTTAGGACATATAACATTTATTATTTGTAATATATTTATATGATGCATAATAATATATAATACTAATAATTATTTATTTTCTTCTTCAAAAAATCAGAGGGAATGTGGTTGATGTTACAACAAGATCATCCAGATGATTTTGTTTTAGCCACAGGTGAAACTCACACTGTCCAAGAATTTGTTGAAAAATCATTTGCTGTAATTAATAAAACCATTATTTGGAAAGGCGAAGGTGAAAATATAGTTGGAAGCGAAGCTGATACCGGAATAGTTCGTGTGCGTGTGGACCCAAAATACTTCCGTCCAACTGAAGTTGATCTTTTGCTTGGTGATCCTACTAAAGCTTATAATAAACTTGGTTGGAAACGTAAAGTTGATTTTGATTCACTTGTAAAGGAAATGGTTTTGGCTGATATTGAGGGTGCCAAAGTTAATTCTGAAAATTAAATTTTTAATTTATAATTAGATTTTTTAAATTAATTAAAAATTAGTTATTTATAAATAGCATAGAAATTCAACAACAACAATAATAAATTAATTTTAAAAAATTTCAACTAAAAAAAAAAATTATAGAGGAATGAATTAAAAACCATTAATAAGGGAATTTTCAATTAAAAACGAATCAATTGGTTATTTAAACAAAAACCTTGATAATATTGGCATTAATACTTATATAATAAAAACAATATATGTACAGTATATTCAAATTGCAAGACTTCATCCGCACCAACCACACGTTTTGTTAGTATATGCTTTAGAAACAACGGAATCCTGTTTTCCATGTTCTTTGACTTTTAATGTTAACCTATTTCGAAATTTTGAATCATCATCGTGTTTTCCACTGTTCTATTTATTTCTATTTATTTCTTTTCTCATGCAATAATTATCAAAAGTTCAAACAAGCCACAATACAGTTTTCTATAACATCATTTATTGCTTGAGCATTCCTCGTAGAATTACATTTTTTGATAGGGCCTTGGTTATGGAGGATATTTTTGTAATTTTTTGAATATCATTATTTCCTAGCTATTGTTTGTAGGGAGGGAGCGAGTAGAATGAATAAGGAAATTGATCATAATTCACAATTCATAAAAGCCTGTCATGTTAAAATCTGCAAAACAAACATTAACATCCCCTGTTTGATTTTCACATGGGATTTTGCTTTTTCATAGACCCCAAACAAATCTCCATTGCTTTAGCAGTTGATGGTATGAAAGCTTGCTATCACGTTTGCTTCTCCCTTTAAGTCAGGTCAACTATGGTTTGCTTTAAGGCGTTCATGATGAAAAGAGGGATGTGTTGGGGGTTTATTAGAAATTATATCCATTTTATGAAGATTATCTCTGCAACATGATGACTTGGGTTAACAGAATCCTTTATAGTAGGAAGCCGCAAATGGTTTGACCATTATTTAACTTTTTGAATTTCAATCATGTATAAATTTGAATGATACAAATTGAATTTGTAATATAGTAAAATTGATTTTAATATGATAAAATAAAGGAAAATTTTTGAAAAAGTTAGTTGTGTTTTTTGAAGAATCATATAAAGGTTTCCTGATTCATCATACTGTAACCATTTTTTCGGTAAAATAACAACAAAAATAATAGGATTAGATTCTGGGGTTATTTGTATGTAATTGGTAAGAATATATGGGCATGGACAATAGAAACAGCCCAAACGTCAAAATTACCGATTAATATAATTGAAAAAAAGCATTTCAAGTAATTTACCTATTGTTTTTAAGAACTTTAACAGAAAATATCTCTAAATTTTATTAATCTGTAATAAATGGCATGTAGAAATGCTGTTAACTCAAAATCATGATTTTTGGTGTTGGGTCGTTTCTATTGTCCATGCCCCATATTCGTTCGAAATAGACATTTGTTTTTTTTTTCTCACATGACCATTCACGCATCAAATATCAAGTATTATTATAAAGATTTATATTTTTTTAATAAGAACAGAAAACTCATTGTCCATTAATATAATTTTTTGCTTATCAACTGTAATAATTAATCTCTACATCAAATCCATTAGGGCAATGATAAGTTTCTTGTATTCTTATGATTGTAGTGAAATATTAGTGTCAGTATTGTAAATTAATCAAAATGCACGATAATCCAGATGATTTAACTTTGCCAGCAACAATTTCAGGATAAGCTCGTGAAAATACTATGGCAGCCTCATTTATTATTTCATCAGTTATCGAGCTTATTAGTCCTTCAACGTATAACATACGTGTTAATGCATGATCTCCAACCAATTCTAAAATAATATGTAAAGAGGTAAAAGAAAGAAGCCTTGACAACTTTTAAAAAAAAATTTTATATGGGTCTCCCCTGTAAAAAAAATACACCATTATTTTAATTTCAATTCCAGAAATATTCTGGAAATACTCCATAAATTTGTAATTACACGTTTCTTTGCTAAATATACATTTTTTAGAGTTTTAAAACACGGATAATCGATATATACAAGTGTACGAAGTAATATTCACCCGATTTTCCTCGAACGTTTATATCTAAATTTAAATAAACTTGTGTATGAGTGTAATGAAAAATATTCACGAGATTTTGGTTTTAATTTATTCATACCTGTTCGTACTCTACAACACTTTCCAGATCCGAAACAATCGCAGTAAGAAACATGACGCCTAATGTCCGCCTGTGAGACACAAATAAACCGGTTTTCTCGTCATTACCTAACAAACGAAAAAACAAAAGTTTTTAATTTGCCTCTAGTATTGCTAATAACTTGTAAAATGTACCACCTTCATATTTCGACAACTTTTCAAGTTGAGCATCTGCCCTTTATGAAAGTTGTATACATGAATATTCTTTGGCTTTTGTAATGCGCTCCTTGAACTTTTCTTTCTTATCCTAGAGAAATATTCATGGAATTGAAATCTTCTGTTACCATATGCAAAACTGATATATTTAGCTACATACAAATTACTTACATAAATGTCATTGGCGAGTTTTCTAGTAGAATGATCCAGAATAAAACTTGATTTTAATACTCGGTTAAAAACACTTCTTTTGATATTTCTTTTGACGAGACGAATTACCTCAAATTGAATAATTTGAATAGTTTTTTCTGTGTTTTTAACAATTTCACCTCTTGAAATATCACTCTCAGTAACTACATCAGGAAAATAAATCCTACATAAACCTACGTAGGGTTCAGAATTGGCCAGCATTATGTCGATATTTTAGTAATTCTGTTAACATTTCCGCATAATGCTGGTCAGTTTTAAACCCTGCGTAGGTTTACATTGAGATTATTTTCCTGATGTACATTATTTCGATTTATCGAATTTATTTTCGATTCCCTTTTCAAATTAGATCTTGGAGTCCATGAAAATATCTAATCCTTGAAAAAAAAAGTCTGCTTGCTTTCATTGTGATATAATTCGGGGGAAATGTTTGAAAAAGAGAGATATATGGTTGGGGCGGCCTATTGTTGCGCCACGCGGCCAGATTTCAAAAAATAGCAATTTTGCAATTCATTCAATAGTGGTGTATCCGTTGATTATTGGGGTGTTTGAGAACTTGGTCAATCAATAAAATTCAACATTCGGATAATGATTGATTTGACTTGGTTCGAATCTAATTCAAATATATATGCACATATGAAAGAATTTGAATACTGTATAAAGAGTTGCCTTTGGAAATAAATGGTTTCTAAAGTCAAAAAAAATTTTTTTTTCCTAGTGCAATAATCGCATTTGGCTTATCCACACCATTTTTTGTGCTTTGAACACATTATTACACTGTGCTTGTTGAAGTAGTAATTGAAGAGGTATCATTTTCAACGATGCAATTATCGTCATTCATCATATTTATTATTTAAATTTAAAAAAACGAATTTTGCAACTGTAAACTACATTACTTTTTATTTGTTATCGTTATTAATATTAATGCGCAAAGTCTATATTCACAATACAAATTCTTATTCGAATAGAAACCCTGTTAATATGATATTAAAGAAATTTAGGAATTCGGTTTGATCCGAATCAAATCACAATCACTTTAAAATTTGACTCGGTTCGATTCGTTCAGTGCCTCACCTCTGAATATCTTACTTTATCCAATTCTAAAGTCTGTGGAGATGTTTATCTATCTGTTTACAAGTATTGATAAAAATTTTATTTATTATTATTATCCTGTACCACCGACTATTCATGTGAAATTTTTCAGCACCCGATTAACCGGATAATCGGTGAATAATCGGTGAGGCGGGTATAACCACTATGTTCAAAAATGCAAAAAATAAAATTCTAAAGGTATTTCCAAAAATGGAGTTCACGTGATTTTGGTGCGATTATTAATATTAAATATAATGATATTAAATATCTCTTTACATTATTATCATTCTATAATCAATCTATGCTTGTTTATTCTCTAAATCGTAAAAGTGTCATGTAAGTATTTAAAAAACGTACTTGACTCTGTATATATTAAAATTTGTTGGATAGTTATGATAACAGTCAGTATAAATAACCAGACATTTATTGACACATAATAACAAAAAAGTCATTAAAATTGTCTCGCTAACTTGACTATCACGATCTGATTAATTTGACTATCCTTTTGTGAATGTAACCACATGATATCATGTGCTTTATCCAGGAAAATTTTTTATATTCGTGCGAAATTTTTTAAATTTTATTGCCGTTCACAAAAGGATCGTCGATTAATAGTTTTTTACAGAATGATTATTTTTCGAGAAAACCTTTCTAAAGAGTGACTCCTATGCTTTTAAAATTTAGACTGAGCCAGTGTTGTCAAAAATTGTCAGTAAAAAAAGTACATTGGTCCAATTGGTTGGATTTATTGGACTAGACTAGACTTTATTTGGACTTTGTCACAAAAAAATTAAAAATTTCTCACGAGTCAGACTAACTAAAAAAACTTGTCGTAATTGTTTGTTGAATTGTAAAAAACTACAATTGAAAGAATCAAAATCCAGTTATTAGTAGAAAGAAAGGAAACCTTTGAAAATGATTCTCCTCTTATCAAAAAATTATAGAATTGGACTGGGACTGCCAACTATATAATAAAATGACAGAGCCAAGGTTTTATGAATATAAATGAATTTACTCTCCTTATTATAAATGACACTCGCTATTTTATCTTTGTTATACTATACTGGTGGAGTGACATCATTTGTCTAGAAATTTCCGTTACATTATTTATATTATTATTATAATGACATATCACAGTATAATGTACGAGCGAATCTTTAGTTGGTTAAATTCGTACGGAAATAATGGAATTAACCAGTATGCTTTCTTCAATGATTTTATCCAAATTTGGTAATTTTTTTCGCATGACGGACGGGCATTGATTTTTCCACATAATTTTTTTCTTTTATTTTTAATTTATATTTACAAAAAAGACAAACAATAATAATAATAAAACATAATATGAACATAAATCACATACATAATTAACACATAATTAATTAATTAATTAATTTAAATAATATAAAGAAAACTTAAATTTTTTTTTAAAAAAAAAAACCTTAAAATAAAAAAACCAAATCTATAGTAATATATATATTGATGATGATGATGATGATGATGATGATATGATGATTATTGACAATGATAGATTTTTTATTATCAAATAAAAAACATTTATAAAACCCTTAAAATATATATAATTTATATGTAGAAAAATTACAATACAATTGAAAAAATGTGCAACATTCTTTCTAATAAAATATTTACAAAGGAATGAAAATATATACTATAATTATTATTATTATTATTATTATTAGTTTTCTATGTAATATTTATGGTACTAGTATTAATCTAATTTAAAATCTAACTACGGATTAATCGAATTATAATTTTATTTCTAAATAAGGAAAAAGTTAAATTAAAATTAAATTTTCTAAATTAAATTAGTAAAATTAAATTATTAATAGTATCCTCTTGAGTTATAAATTCCGTTTGGATTTATAAGATTAGGATTTATTCCAAAGTTATTATTATTATTATGACCACCACTGTTACTACCATAATAAGCATGATTATTGTTAAATGTTGATGGTGTTGTCATCATCATTGTATTGTTAGAAGAAGGAGATTCAACAAATAAAGGGTATCCATAATTATTATTATTATTATTATTATTATGGTTGTTATTATTAATATAATGATTGCTATTGCTGTGATGATTATGATGGTATGGATAATTATTATGACTATTATTGTTATTGTAGTGATTATTATTATAATTATTATAATGGTGATTATTATTATATTGATTATTGTTGTTGATGTTGCTGTAATGATTATAATTATTATTGTTGGTAAAGCCATATTGTGTGGGTGATGAATTTCCAACCGTTGAATATCCAAGAGTTGGTGATGATAATAAAGGAGATGACGACGACGAAGTGGTAGTGTTGGTGTTTATAGCAGTAGAAGAAGTGTTGTTAGCCGAAAAGAATCCTATTGGTGGTGAATCATAACCTGTTGGTGATGAATAGCCACTTTGAGCTAAACCATATCCATAATCAAAAGAATTAGACATTGGAGCTGAACCAAAATATTCAAAATCGGATGATGTTGAAGAAGAATTTGTAAGTCTTCTTGCTCTTCTGGTCATTGGTGTTTGAATACCGATTTCTTTCATAATTCTTTCTTCTCTTTCTTTCGCTTCGATCATCATCATTTCAACTTCACTAATATCTACTGTGCTTGTCAGTGCAGCTTTACCTTCTGCAATCATATCTGCTAATTTATAATTGAATTTATGGAAAACATCATCTTCTTCAGTGGCTTGTTTTTGATTTTTTGTCGATGTGGATGTCGATGATGATGATGATGATGAGCTCAAGTCAACCGAAGAAGATTTTCTACGGAGTGGTCTACGGTTACGACGAACACGTATTGGTTTACGACGAGGACAATTATTATTTTTATTGTTGCTGTTTAAGTTACCATCGTCGTCATCGTCATCACCATCAACATCGTCACCGGTAGTTTCAAATTTAACTTTATTATTTGATTCTTGTGCAGTTGGTGAAGAAGATAACGCTGGTACAGTTAATGAATTTTTACCAGAGTTGGGAGTCACAGATGGTGGTGGCATAGTCCACGAACTATCGTATGGTGGCGGAGGTTCAAAATCGTTATTATTATCGTTGTCGTTGTTATTTAATTTCCGAATGGAATGATCTTTTTTAATGTCATCATCTGAACTGTAATAATAATCATCGTCATTATCCTCCGCATAATCGTCGTCGTCATCTTTAATTTTCATCACATCGTCGTAATAATATTGATTTTTTCTAGAATAATAATAATAGCCTTCACCATTCTTTTTATTTTTATTTTTTTTGTTGCTCTCGTCTTCGCTACCGTCGCCGTTGTTGTCATCGTCGTTGTTGTTGTTATTATTGTTGGTTCCTACACCAGTTAAAGTTTGATAAGTTTCAGAGGCTAAAGTTGAAGTGTAGGCTGCTAATTCTGTTATTTTATATAAAAAATTTGTAGCAACTCCTGGTCTTTGTGATGCTTCATTACTGTTGGTATTGATTTTGTTTTTGTTATTGATATCCATTGCTGACATGTTATTATTACTGCTTTTTATTCCGACCAAAATTTGTTGCTGAAATAAAGATAAAATTATATTTTTGTTGTTTGCAAGTTCGTTCCGTGCGTTGTTTTTATTTTTTTTCCAAATTTACTGCGTGTAATTATCAGTTAAATTAATTAGTGAATTTTGGTTTAAGAAATTAGAAATTTATTTTTTTTAGTGAGAAAAATATTTTTAGTTTTTAGCGAAAAGATAATAAAATGTATATTTTTATACAAGAGAAAAAAAAAGTTATTTTTTTGGGAGAATATATAAATAATTTAAATAGTGCGGTGTGGAAAAAAAAGAGAAAAGATACAACAACATACGTTGTGGATTTTTAAATAGTATTTTTATTAAAATAAATGTAATATAAATAAAACTTAATGTAACCATAAACAATTAGATTTATTATATTTGTACACTATATATAAAAAAGAGGTTCATGTAAGATCTATATTATATGTGACAGTTACATATTAATTATTGTGTTGCGTGATGAATACCGTGTGTGTATGTGTTCTTGATAATTGACCATTCATCCGTTCATTCATATTTAAAAATTGATCAATGTTAATATTAATGTTTAAATTTGTAAAACTCACTCACACTCGTGTTTTTTTTTGTGAATTACAAAATTATAATAGTTCTTTACAAATCACACTTTAATCATATTTTGAATATCAATACTAACATTCATGAAATGTAATATGCATGACATAGTGCGCTGTTGTAGACGATCATGTTATTTATTATTTTTTAATTATTATAGACAAACTAGCAGTTTATGGTTACAATCTTTCTTCTTTGCACAAAAAATTTCCTAAACGAGAACCATTTTACGCCGTTGACGATATGTAACAAACGGTAAGTCAAACAATTGTCCTTATCTTACCGCATTGTTGAAAAAATTTAATAAAAATTATTTTTAAATATACTGCTTGTATTATATATATATCACATGTATATACATCATTTTCATTTATCGTTATCGTCATCAACATCTAAATCGTTATATTGAATTATTTGGGAATTTTTAAAAAATCGGAGAACAATATCGGTTTTCTCCTCTATTTTTTACCTTTTCGGTATATAATATAAACATTCACAATAATAATACCAAAACGGTTAAGCAATCTTCTCACCGATAAGACATTTAAAAGGTTTCACTGCATGCATATTTGTTTGTGTTCTCCTATTTGTCAATATGTAACAATAGTACAATAAACAAATATATATCTCATTTTTTTTAATGTGAAATTGAATGTTATTTTTTACATTGTTTTCTTGAAAAAAAAAAAAAAATAAATCATTTCATAATATATGATCGATCATTTATTTATTATTTAATTAGAGAAATATATAAAAAAATTACAAGAATAACAAGAATCAAGATTCTAAATAGAATTTAAAATTTATATTGCAAATTTATTTGTTATTTTTATTTGTATCGCTACCATCATCACAACGATCTTTTCCATAATTAATATAACAGTTTTTGTAACCACTTTTTCTTTTAATGCGTTTCACTGCTCTGATTCCAGAACCAATAGACATAAAGTTGACAAATCCGCATGATTTTTCTCTGTCAAGAATGATTGATTCTATTTTGCCACATTTTTTAAAGTCTTTATATAGTTTTTCTTCGGTCATTCCTTCACCAAGTTTTTCAATATAAACATTACGAGAAGGAGGCCTGTTATTCATTTCATCCTCTTCAGACAATGGTCCTGGATTGTCATCCTCAGCAGCCTTAAGTTTTCTATTTTTGGCGTCACTACAATCACCACAACGATCTTTTCCATAATTAATATAACAGTCTTTGTAATCGTCATTTCCTTTAATAAGCTTCATTGCTCTGATTGCAGAACTAATAGACATAAAGTTGACAAATCCACATGATTTTTCTTTGACAAGATTGGTTGATTCTATTTCGCCGTACTTTTTAAAGTCATTATATAGTTTTTCTTCGGTCATTCCTTCACCAAGTTTTCCAATATAAATATTACGAGAAGCATGCCTGTTATTCACTTCATGCTCTATATCTTTAGGCAATGGTCCTGGATTGTCCCCCCAAGCAGCTTTAAGTTTTCTATTTTTGATTACCAAGCCTAAATTTTGTGCCATAAACAAAAAGCTCGCTGCACTGTTTGGATCAACGAATCTGACAAATGCGACTTGTTTTTTCGGGATGTATTGAATACATTCAAGATTACCGGCACGAATATAATTACAAATTTCTTCAGACCTAGTTGAGGGGTGAATATTTCCAAGATAAACACTTCGGTTTCCAACATTGCTAGTGACATTTGCCATAGTTTCTTCAGATAATGCGTGTTGATTTTCATTGGGATGATATCTTTTGTGAAATAAAGTGCATGCATTAAGATTATGATTATGAATTGATGACATAGCATTAAGATTATGATCATGAATTGACACATTATTAAGATAAGGATTACGAGTTGTTGTCACATCATTAAGATAAGGATTACGAGTTGTTGACATAACATCAAGATAAGGATTATGAGATGCCTTATTTCCAAAGCTTTGAAGGAGAGTGTTTTGCATATATATTTCACACCGGTCTTTGGCATAATCAACTTTAACCTTTTTGTATGCGTATTTTGATGGTAATGATTCAACTGCTCTAATGGCACTTGAAATATTCCAGAAATGAACTAATCCAATCTTTTTTTCTCTGATAATTTGAATAGTATCAATATAACCATATTCAGCCAAATCTCTATGTAAAATCCTTTCAGTGATCGAATCATCCAAATTTTCTAGGAGAACGTTACGTGAAGCATTGTTTTCTTCAACAGCTAATTGAACACCTAAAGGTACAGCTGATAATCTACCCCAACCAACGTAAAGTTCTTGACCTTCATAAAAAATTTGGTTGTTCGTAGCTTCATCATAAAATGCTTTTGCAAGAGTAGCATTCATAAAAGAAATGAATGCACAAATTCTGTCAGGATGTAGTTTTACAGACTCTAATGGACCAACTTTGATTTGATTTATAAGTTTATAAACTTCTACATTTGGTGGTAAATTTCCAAGATATACAGTTCGTCTAATAACATTTGTAGAATATTTTTGATAAATTTTTGAAGGTCGATTTGTGGGTTGCTTTAATCTCAACGGAGCGGCTTTATGATAATAATCAGCTATTAGTGCTTGATAAAAATATTTTGTAAAATCAATATAAATTTTTAATTTTCATTACCTCTTGTTAAAAAAACGTTGCCACTACTATTATTTGGATTATGCCTTGCTTTTTTAGCATCTTCATGACTTTGATTGCTGTTATCGTTACTACGTTTCATGATAAAATATTGACTGTAACTTTGAAGCTTTGAATATCAAATCTTTGGGAAATAAACGTAAAATAATGTATATAATCTATATGTGTATAAATATAAATAAATGAATGAATATATACATACATACATACATATATATATATATATAAAATAAATTATAAATGAGTTAATTATTCTAATGGAATTCACCTTTAATGTAGACAAATATATAACGCGTTTGATCTAATGTTTAAATATAATAAATAGTGATTGTGTGCAGATTGGAAAAATGTGAGGACGGTTAAACTCATAATTCTTGCAACGATCTTCTTTCAACACTATAATATAACTAAAATTCTTGCTTTTTTAAAAAATAAAATAAAAAATACCTTGAGAGAAAGATAAAAAAGTTTCAAGATTTGGTTACACGAATAGAAAACTAAAAAAACCTTTAAATCTACGCGTGAAATTCAAATTAGTCAATTAATATTATAGAATTTTGTATCCCGGCTGTATTACATTAATTGTATTAATTGTGACACTTTGAATATTAACCCAAAATTTTAATTATAAATTTCGATTTCACATAGTTTCAATTTCGCATACAATAGTAATATATATAACTTTCCAAATGCATCCATGGTATTTAACATTGATTTTAATTTACCTTTTTACACGATGCCTGCTTTTGTTTTGTGTCTGTCATTTTGAAATATGAATATTGGTGCTTAAGACACAATAGGTACTGACTGTTTTGTCTCCTTTCTTTTTTGGCAATTAATTAACTCTTGCTAAGATGAGGTTATACACACTTGTTGTTCTTGGAGATAGTGGTGTTGGCAAGGTAATAAAGCTTGGGGGGTTTTAAAAAAAGTATTGTTTTAATAAATCCGTTTATTTTTTCTTTAATTAGACTGCTATCACAGCTCAGGTATTATTAACCTACGGTATATGTAATCAGTGAATTTTTAAATGATCGCATATCTACATATCGCGTAACGGGCGTGATAAATATCATTACTATTTTCCCATTGACTAATGCTAAACATTTCTTAAACTTGGCTGGTTTAGTTGTGTTCGAATCAGTTTTGTTGGTATGTATTTTTCAAATTGTATAAATTTTTCCTTTTTATCACGAATTCTATCTATTATGCATTAAACTAAAAATAATTATTATCTTGAATATAGAGGTAAAATATTTTATTTAAAACATTATTTTTTGAACATCTTCTATTCCTATCCAATATATTTCGTTTTTATTTTTTTAGATCCATGACCAAAGAATTGAAGGTTCATATAGAAAACAAGTAGTAATTGATGATCAACCCTGTGTACTACATGTTCTAGATACTTCAGGACAAGGTAATACTTTGTTGCCTGTTTATAATAAAATTGAGTACAATAAAACATTTACTATGTCTTTTTTTAAATAAAGAGGAGTATACAGCACTTTGGGATCAATGGATCAGGTAGAAAGAAATTTAAAATTTCTAATGATAATTGTTAGAATCATTAAACCCTGACTTAAAATTATACATATAATTCTAATAAATATATAGAGATGGAGAAGGTTTTCTTCTAATATATTCTATATCATCACATTCAACATTTGAACAAATAGAAAGGTATAAAGATCAAATAATAAGAGTAAAAGGCTCTAATAAAATCCCATTTATACTTGTGGGAAATAAATGTGACAAGCATACAGAACGGGAGGTTTCAAGGGAAGAAGGAATTAATATGGCAAAGAGACTTGGCTGTGAATTTTTTGAAAGTTCAGCAAAAGCATTTGTAAATGTAGAAAGATCATTTTACAAAGTTGTACAAATGTTAAGGCAAAAAATAAATCTAGAATCTATTTCAGAAGAGGAAAAAAGGTTTAAGAATCAACTTGAAAAAGAATGCATTCTATTTCATGATTACAATTCTTTTCAAAATATTGAATTTATTGATGATGGATCATTTGGGACAATTTCTTGTGCATCTTCAAAAAATTCACAGGGGCTTGTGGCATTAAAATCAATTAATATTGACCAAGAATACACTTTTGAACAACTTATTAATGAGGTAAATATTTTTTTTATCTAATAAATTTATTATATATTAACAAAAACATTTACAATTGATTTTTTTAAAGGCAAAACAACATCATAAAGTGGAACTTCACAGTAATATATTAGGATTTTATGGTATAACAAAAGAAAGTATGTTGACTTTTCATTATTAATTATCATTGGATTGCAATATATTTATTATACTTTGTTAATTTAAATTTTTTACATATCAATAAAGAGGAACATAAAACAACTTACATGTTTGTATTAGAATATGCAAATAATGGTAATCTATGTGATTATTTAAAATACAATTTCAATATAATGGATTGGAATATTAAATTAAAATTTGCAAAACAAATTGTAAGTGCTGTAAGACATTTGCATGAAAATAAAATAGTACATAGAGATCTGGTATGTATAACATTACTTATTTATATTTAATTATTCTTACATTTTTAATAATAATAACCAACAATTATATTTTAAATAGCATTCTAAAAATATTCTCATTCATAATGGAAATATTAAAATTTGTGACTTTGGAATCTCCAAATCCTTATTGGATCCTTCAATAGAGACTTCTAAAAGATTATGTACAATAAGATACTCAGATCCAGAATATTTAAACAATGCTGAAAATTATAGTCGCAATGAAAAATCAGATATTTATAGCATTGGAGTACTTTTATGGGAAATTTCAAGTGGTTGTGCCCCATTTGCAAATAAGTCAATAAAATTCAAAGATATAATACTTGGCATAATATCAGGTGAACATGAAGCAATAATTAAGGGAACTCCAAGAAAATATGCAGAAATATATTCAGGTAATAATGATAAATAGTTATTTGTGGTTACATAGCCACTGGATAATCCTGAAAAATGTTTTTTAAATAGCAACACCATTAATAATTTATATCCAATATTAAATTTCTCTATGTTTGCGAATTCAGTGTAACCGAGGACATTTTTTCCTTCGAATTATATAAAGGCGGTGACCTTTTCCATTTTCCATTAATCGAATCTATAGTGAGGCGGTCACTTTTTTTTTTTTTAAAGTACTTTCAAATCATAGTGTTGGCGGTCACATTCAATAGAGTTTTCCCGGTCCTGCATGAATACGTGGTTAGATGTTGTGTAAAGTTCCACAACATATTAGTGTCCAATGCAAAAGGTAAAAACTTATTGATGATAAATTTGACTTGTTGATCATAGCTGTTTTACTATTAGATGATCAACATCTTGTGTAGCAATTATGCAAATGCATCTTCTAAGTAGAATCAAACAATGACAATATGTACCATATCAAACTGTGGTTTTTTGCTGCTGATCTACTTATATGATTTTTGGGGTCTTGTGAAACTAAATCATGGCAGTTATGGAATTATCAATTAAGAAAATACTTGGGGGAAAATACTAGGTTTTCTATATAGAAAAAGCTCAAGAATTGGTGTCAGTGTTATCATTATTATGATTTATTAAATAATAGATTAAAATATTTTTGTGTGTATATATACACACACACACATAGTACATATAAATGTATTAAATGATAAATGAGTAGTGAATTTTTTTTTAAATAGTAATAAATAAAATTTACTTTTTTAATTTACTTATTGGGTTAGTTTCAGATTGTTTTACATAATGAGGTTCCATCATCATCATAGGTCTTTGTCCCAAATTTGGCAGTGCTTGAGGTACTGAATATCTCATAACTGGTGGTATTGCTATATAAAAAAATGGCATATTGGTATTCTTGCTTTGGTTAATGTTTAAATTAAACAAACTTTATTGAATTGAACTCATTAAATTAGAAAATCTTTATATGTACCATGTGGATTTTGATATTGCTGATACATATGTGGACGCATTCCATTTGGAATCATTGGTGTACAGCCTGGAGATGGAAATCCCTGTGAGCCAAAATGTTCTATATGTTTAAAAGCAAATCATACAAATTAGATTATTAAGTGTTTAATCATTATATATTATATTACTAAACCATGTGTATGAGACAAATAAAACATACGTGGAACCATTGGTTGGATTTGCGGATTGTATATTTCTGTCAAAAAAATATATAAGATTTTGTTAAATTAAATACAAGTTTCTTTAGTTAAAACAACATATACATACGAGGTGCACCAGTTGATGGAACTGAAGGTGTAGTGAATGGCATACTAGGCACAAACTAAAAACATATTTAAAATATTTATTAATATTCTTTTTCACTCCATACTCCTAAAAAATGAAAGAAGCAGCATACCCTTGGTTGCATATATGACATTTGTGTAGGTTGTTGTAAAGAGACTACACCATATTGAGTTGAATTTGGATATCGAAAAGGTGCAACAGAGTAAGGCATAAATCCATAACTTGGATTGACAACTATAATTCATCATCATATCAGTTTTGACAGCAAAACAATGTCTAATAATTGATTATGTAATATTAAAATTTTTAAATACTTACGAATTGTATTTGGATTTATTAATGGTTTTCCTTTATGAAAACCATCTTTAATTGTTGCAGAATTTTTCTTTAATTGTTGATTTCCAAAGAAAGGTGACTAAAAAATTGGTTTTATTATTTCCATTTTGTACTTTTTTTAATAATAGATTAATGATTAATTTAATACATACTGAATCAGGTGATTTTCTATCAATATTGGTATTAGTGACAACCTATTACATTAAAATATATATATATAACTTTAATTTAAATTAATTCTTTATAAAAATATAATAGATATATATATATATAAAAGGGTTGTTTATGAAGATTGTTACATCAATCAACCCATACCGGAGTGAAACTTGCCGCATTAGGATTTGGTTTCCATTCTGATGCTTTAACATTAAATTTGAATTGAGAATTTGATGTTGATGTTGAATCGTTATTGTTATCATTCATTGAAGGTAGAGGAGCATCAGAAGTTAACTTATCAAATTCTGATGATGTTGTTTTGTTATCAGTTATTAATGTTTTTGATTCAGGTTGAGCTTTTTGAGTTTTTTCACCTTCGGGTTTTTTAAGATCTGTTTTGATATCCGAATGTTTGGATATGATTGTTTTATCTTCGAATAATTTATCTATTTGTTTATTGCTATTGTTATTGTTATTGTTATTGTTATTGATGTCATTGTTGTTGTTATTAATTTCAACACATCTATCTTGTATCTTGTATTTATCTTGTGATTTATCTTTTATTTTTTCATTATCTAAATTGTGTGCTGCTGCCACAGATTTAGCTTCAAGCTGTTGACGTTTAGATTCATCTTTTGTCAAAATTGGAATAAGATCTTTTGGTAATGGCAAATCTAACTATAAATTTATTAATAATGAGTTTTTATTCTTAAATATAAAATATAAAAATATATAAAAACATAAAAAAAAATAAAAACCTTAAAGCCTTGGCCCCATTCAAGTAATTCAGCGGCTTTTTTATCCATTTCTTTTCTAAATATAGCTTGTTTTTTGTGTTGTAGTCTTTCTTTTTCGTTGGTTGCAAATTGTCGAAATCTATTAATAATCTGCGTTTCGATTTTTTTCCCCTCAGAATCTTTATTATTATTTCTCTTAAAAATAAAGTATATATATTTATTAATTTAACATAAACAAACAATAAACATATTAAATAATATTCTAAGAACCTTTTGAATTAATACATCAATGGGTTCTGTTATTCGGAATTGAGCCAAATTAGACATCTTTTGTACAGATGTAGCTGCTTCATTAGTAGTTTCAGCAGTTCCATTAGTTAAAGGTATTGCCTTTAGAATATTATCACCATCACTACCATTATTATTTTTGTTGTTATTAATGGATGAAAATGATTTTGTTTCTTCTAAATATTTTGATTTAGTAGTAGTAGTAATATTAGTAGTAGTAGTAGTAGTAGTAGTAGTAGTAGTAATAGTAGTAGTAGTAGCAATGTCTTTAGAAGATTCTTTAATAGTATCTAATTTTTTAATTGTTTGCGTAGTAGCATTTAATTTTGGCCGTGATTGTGATTGTTGATTTGATTTAATTGATGATGGTTGTGGCAGTGGCTGTTGTTTTTGTATTTTAGAAAGCGTGAGTGGCATGTATTTACTTGGATCACGATTACGAATAACAGCGCCGTAACTAATAAATTTATTATTATTATTATTATTATGTATGAATGATATCTATTTAATTAAATAATCGAATCAAGGTAATTTTTGAATAAGAAATCAATTAATCGCTTACCGTTCTTCTTCGTCCATTTGATTTTCATCAATGATACAACCACGTTCTTCTAGCATATGAGTATTTGTAGTAGCAGTCTATAATAATCATACAAATATAATATTAATCTTTGAATATTCTAAAATAAAATATAAATATATTTATGGTTTATTTTTTATTAAAACATCTTACTCTGTTAATTTCATTTGCAAGAGCGATAGCAGCCTTTTCTCGTTCTTTAAAATCAGCTTTTGAGCGATCTAATTTTGTGGTATAAATTTCTTCATTGAAATCAGTGGCAATTCCAAACAATTGTTCATTTGCAGCAAATTGATCCCAAGTATCACCATTTTCTTGGCCTAAATTATCTGTGGAAAGAAATTAAGGATTAAAATAAATAAAATAATCGTATATGATTTTTTCATAAAAAAATTATGGAAGGATATTCTAAGCCTTCAAAAAGCTCTTCTGATTCGCCAGAAGTCCATTTATGAAGTTCCCTTTCTTTTATTCCTGTGCGATCAGAGATATTAGAATCTGTTTTAAAGCCTAGTTTATTAATTATTAAGTAAGTAAGTTACATAATATAATATAATATTAAATATCTTGATTATATTAACATATAACATACTATCACGTTCTAAATTTGATTTTTCTGATGCAGAAAAGTCAACATTAGTAGCATATATATCCATAAGATCCTTTTCTAATATGATAAAAGATTCTTTTGCAGGATTTGATGTGGTTTTTTCTTCACTTTTGGATAAAACTCTTTTGGCTAATCTTAACACCACGCCAATTCCACCATCTGTACATGCTGCCATGAAAAAACCTTGATATTTTACACCACTTTTTAAAGTGACAATAACATTCCTACCCTAGAAAAAATTAAAGATATTATTATTATTTTTTCAAAAAAATAATAATAATAATAATAATAATATGCTAAATATTTGATGATACATACAACTAAATTAAAAAGTAGAAATAACATTCGATCATGCATATGTCTGCTAGAACTTTCATCATAAACTATTTGTTCAATTTGTTTGAATGAATTTGGACCTGGAGATATTGAAAAATGATTATTAGCAACATTAGTAGCATGATTATTGGTATTATGGTTAACGTTGTTAATATAACCGTTGTTGTGATAATGATTTGTGAATGATGGACTAGGATTTGGAAGTTGTTGAGTTATTGATGTTAGATTAATTGAATGTTGAGAATTATTAGTATTATTAATATTAAAATCGTTATTGTTGTTGTTATTATTATTATTATTATTTTTATTCTTATTCCATTTATTCTTGTTACTTCTATTATTATGACTACAATCAATAACTTCAACATTAGATATATATATATATATATATTGAATTAAATAAAATGAATCAAAATACTATAATGTGATCAATTAATGAAAATTTTACCTTTGATTTGGATTTGTAAAAGATTGATAACCTTCTTGTCTTCGATCTTTTGTTCTTATTATAGCTGAAGACATTTTTAAAAAACAGAGGATGAAGATAATAACAATACAGTAATATAATTAATTAATGTCCAAGTTTATGTATATTTATATTTATATTTATATTATTAGATATAGAATTTGTGATAACGTATGTCATAAAAATATTAAAGGTATTTAGGTGTTTAGATACAAGGTAAAGAGAATAATTTTCCTGCTTCATTCTCCAATTCGCATTTGCATTCATTTACAATTTATCAACTAATCAATTAATATAGCATGGACGTCGTATAAAATTTGAATGTCCCAATTAGTTTACACGATAATCAAAGGAACCTTTACTACCTTTAAAATTTCGACCAATTAAAAACCATTCAATAATTGCTCACATGTTACAAATATCACGTGGTTGTATAGGGCACGAATGTTACTAAGATTTCATAAATTCAACGTTTTTATATAACAAAATAATGTTTTGTAAACTTTTCAAATAAAATAAATACATTTTTTTGACAAAAAATTTTGGTTCCCAAGATGAAAGAAAAGTAGCGGTGAAGATTTTTTACGTCTAAAGCTTTATTTCATTGATCTTTTTCAAAAAAGTGCATTTCTATTAAGTTTCATTTTAATTATACATTAAGTTTTTTTTGCTAATACCTCTTTAAATGATGTGTTGGACTTTCAAATGTTGCAACAACAAAGGTACTATTGGCTCGCACAAGAGTTAGTTAGGTTTTGATGAGAGATTTGTTTTACTGATCTACATTATATTTAAAATAGAAGGAAGGGTTAAATGAGCAGAAATAAAGATCTTTGAGTAATATAATTAGAATTGTTAGTTTATTACATTTTATACATTCACTTCAAATAATTCATAATACAGATTTCTAACATTGTATTTAAATGAATCTATGGTTGAATTATTGTTATGCGAGGCATTATTATTATACTCTTATTGTATATTAATAATTTTTATTGTATATAATAATAACATTGTCTCGATATTTATTTGTCTGTTTCAAAAAATAGATTTAGAATCATTGCTATGCGACCATCAAAAAAAATCAACTGATGGTAACTACTGCTATGAATGATATCCTTATTGTATGTAATAATATTGAGAGATCTATGGTTAAACGAATTGTTGTTGCACGTACTATTAATGATAATTCTTATTGTATATAATAATAACATTGTGAGATCTATGGTTAAACGAATGTTGTTGCGCATACTATTAATGATAATTCTTATTGTATATAGAATAAGCATTACAATTATAAAGCCTACATTAAAAAAAATAGTAATAGTAATAATAATAAGAGTAACTCCAATCTTAATCTTAAATAATTTTAGCAGATTCATTCAATTAGGATCTGGATTGGCAGTAGGACTTACTGATTAGCAGCAAGCTATTCAATAGGTGATGCTGGAGATGCTGTAAGTGTTATATAACTCATTTATATATTTATGTTCTTATTTCAAAAGTGTGTAAGAGGGCATGCACAACAACAAAGATTATTTGTAGGAATGATTTTAATATTGATTTTTGTTGAAGTAATTGGGTCTTTATGGTTTAATTGTTGGTTTAATTTTAAATACCAAAGTAGGAAGTAATGTTTGTTCCTAACCTATAAATATACATCATTTATTTATTTTAATTACTATTATATGATATTGTGCCAAAAATATTAAATATTGATTGATGGATAAGAGATTGATAAGAAAATTTATTATTATTGATTGTTATTATTGTCAGCTATTTGTTTATCATGATGATTTTAAAGAATCTTTATTTAAAACCAATTCTTCTAATTTAGATTCAACATCTCTAGCTGAGAGATTATTTAAAGCAATTTTTTTCTCTTCTCCAAAATCTAATAAAATAAATATTAATGATTTAGAATTAGATAATACTGACACTTTTTTATGTATGTAATATGTAAAGTGCATAAGTACCATATCTAGCAAAAAAACGAGCTTCTATTCCACTTGCTTCACGAATTAGAATCGGAAATTTTGGATTAGCCTCTTTTAATGATAAATAGTTATTTGTGATAAATTCTCTAGATAATTGCTTTTTTTTCATTAGTTATTGAAAGGAGAGCAATAGGAAGATGTGATTTGTTATTGAAGAGAAAAATAAATAAAGAAATTGAAAAGAATATTTACCGAACTCCTTTACTAGAAGGAGAAGTTTGACAAAAATGTATACGAAGTTCTTTTAAACTTTTTGATAATTGATTTCTCCAAGACATTATTTTTTATGATACGTTTTAATTTTTGGTGTTATTTTAAATTACTAAATACTGTAATGATCGACGTTGTGTAATTCTAAAAAAAAGATTCTGTACATTATATTAATATTAATATTCATTTATATTTTTAACTAAATGGCTCTATTACAGGCAAATTAATTATAGGACTTTGTCCACCATACTTTTTTATTTATAATAATAAATAAGGAATACTGCTAACTAATTTACATGATGATGATTTGAATTTTCTTCCATTTTATTTTGTCCAAAACAAGTTTTGACACCAATCAAATTATTTTTACAAGTGAATTAAATTAACAATAATAAATATCTTTGTTGCCTCATTCATTTACAATATTATTATTTGTTGTTTCTCCAACTAATTGACTAATTTTCTTGTAACCTATTTGGTAATCTAATCCTTGAGTATAGGTTGATTGCCTTCAGCTTTGTATACATATCCTTTTCCATTAAGATGTATTTCAAGAATATCTGGGTCCAAATTTTTATATATTTGTCACACTTACATTTTAGTGATTTTGATCATAATGCTGACTTTTTAATTTTTCAGCTGTAAATTTTGGATCTTTCTTGGTTTATGAATTCTTGACATTGTCATAATGAGTTTTTAGCAAATATAAAAGCTCATAACATTTTTTTTTATGACCAATGTTTAGCATGTCATAAAATAGAGCACTGATTTTTCTTCCTTTGCCCATATATTACCTTCTTTAAAAATCGGTATCACTTTTTACCTTATAAATTAAAATCCGAGTTTCTGACAACTCTGTCTTATATGAGGATCAGAGTTCAAAATAGGCATTTTTACCTTATATAAAAATCTCAGTTGAGCAACAAATCAGACAAAGTGAATATTTGTATTACCAAATTTCAGGTATAAAACTTGTCATCATCAATGTAATTAATAACTTGTTTTAATATTAATTAATTGATACATATATGATTTTGTCTTGTGATTTATTAAAAATACAATATCTATAAATGAATTATTTTATTGTTTTTGACCATTTTTGACCCAACATGAATTCCTCCGAATGAACTTGCAGAATATTATATAGATTATCAGTGGTAACAGAAATGTTTCTTATTGTTTCTAACCATTTAGCCAAAATTCCTAATGTAGTAGCAGTTGTAGTAGCTTGACAAGTTTTGCTCAGAATCGTAATATAGCTTTACAGTATTAACTATAATTGAAATATTGTCAACGCTTATCATTGACTTTATTTTTTATTTTTTATTGGAAGGTAGAAAAACGCGTAACTTTTTTTAGTCAAAAAGATCTTTAGAGAAAAAGTTATTATTACACAAAGCAAACATAACACAATTTATTGATGATCAATTACATACAAATTGTATTAATTACCAAATAATTACCATTATATGATATAAGCAATTTTGTCACTTAACAAACTTTTCCTAGATGATAACATATGCAGGACATAAGTTCTGACAAAATTTAATAAATGGATCCTCTATTTTTAGAGGAGGCAGGCCTACATCAAAAACAGCTCATGAAAGAAATCCATCCTTTTTTTCTGTCCAAAACCTTTCATTTATTCATTTTTGTTGCTTGATTTTTTTAAAAATAGATCCTTAATAATAATGTTAATTTTACCCTTCTTAGAAAATAATGGTTTAACATTATTTGGAACATCTTTATAGGAAACCAATGTTTACCCATTGAATATATGATGAGATGTTTTAATATTTATCTTCTAATTTGTTAGATGAGTTCAAGGAACAATTAATGAATCAAATGAATTATTGAAAGAAGCAGATAATCCAAAATGTAGTTGTTTTGAAAATTGCCTTGCATGTCAAGCATTATACTCTTCAATGCTTGTATAATATTACATTATAATAAGGCAATAAAATATATTTTATATTTGATATATTTCTAACTCCTTGATTTTTAATTTTTTGTTAAACATGGTTAATGCAAAATATGGACATAATGACAAACAATATTGCTCAACCAGTAATATATCATTAGATCTTCATCAAATTCACCAGTAAGAGTGCAAAAATATTGCCAAGTTATAACATGTAAAGGTTGACTATTTCTGCATATGACATATACTGTAATTATCATTTGGTAAACTATTCAGTGATCTTACATATTAATGCCTTAACTCTTGAGTTTTGCACCATTATTTGCTCACTAGCTTCATAACTTTCAAAATAACAATACATTTTCATCATTATTTTCAACATAATCTTTCAAGATTGTAAAAATAAAAAAAAAATCAAAACAATGGGTGTTGCTTGACAGGGAAAAGGATTGGACAGATTGATAATTCATCCGATTAATAAAGTCACACCAAACTTACTATAGAGGATGAAACATGATCTTACAGAAACATGTTAATACAAAGTAAAAAAATAAATGAGCAATTGATTATATTTTAATTCCAAGTTCTAAATGAATTTCCCAAAACTCATCTTTAATAATATCAACATGTAATATTGGAACAACATTTTTTCCCCTTGTAACTTCTAAACCTTTTTGATTTATGGTTTTTTCTTCAATCTATTTATAAGTGATAGAAATAGAGATATTAAACATTGTAATAATATAACATTGTAAAATAACACATGCATATTTATATAAAATACCTTTTGATGAATTAATAAAGAACCTTTACGAAACATTTCTGGTAATTTATTATAATTTATATTAAATTTAGAAAATAATAGTTCATTTTTATCTGATGAAACTGTTCCCTAACATTCATTAAAAAGTAATAAATAAAAGCTAGTTAGTTGCTAATTGAAAAAAAAAATTTTTCTGAGAAATTAAAGGTAAATGCTCACTTTTAAAAATTCTTCTGCTTCAGATTCAGATTTACCAGAATTTACCAAGGCCCAAAAGCATGTATTATATAGATTATTTATATGGCCTTATTATAAATTATTATTATTACTACATTGTAAATATTATTAGTATAATAATAATTCATTAAAGAATATTTACAATCAACCTGTCTCCAAGATAAATAATCTCGTAAATTATTATCACTAGGATAAATTACGATTCTACCATCAAATGAGGGTGGATATAATAATTCTTTTGATGGAAGATAATCTTTCCAATAATATACATAATTAGAAGAAAATTGACTAACAATTACTGATAATATTTTACTAGAAAAGAGAAAGGAGAATGAAAGTGAGAAAAGAGAAAAAAATTATAAATATATGTACATAAGATTACTTACAATTCACGTCTTCCATAAAGGTTGCAATTTTTTTTGAACACAAAACTATTTATAAATATTTGTTAATAATATATTAATATATCATTTACTATTATTTTATGATTCTGTGATTATTACCTATATTCATCACTTTGTCCATATGCTAATATTATATCATGAAATTCATTCATAATTGATTGTGCACACTTATTCATAAGATCTAAAGCTGCTTTATCATTTGGTTTTTCAAATTTATGCTTATCCGAAAACCTATATCAATAGATCAGTTGGTTACTTGTGTAACAAGTGTATAATTTCTATAACTGTTAAATTTTCTTTTTGTTTTGTAATTTACTTGTGAAAACCTCTTCCATCTATACGTAAAACCATCCAAGTGTTAGGCAATAACGAATCATCTTTTTCAAAACTTTTTACATATTCATATCTTGATTTTGCCATTTAATCAATCAGTCTAAATATTTATAAAACTTAGATTAAATAATTAATATTCTTTGGTTGACATTTTTTATTTTAAAAAAAAATTTTTAATTCAGATTCGCCTATGTCTCATCATGGACAACTAAATATTTAAAAGAAAAAATTTGTTTTTCTAAAAATTAATAACACTTTGGTTGCATCAACCATGAGTATTCTAATTTAGTGCCCTGAATATATATATTCTGGTTACCAAAGATATCATCACTATATAATATATGTTTTTCAACAACTTAATTATTTACTTACAGAAAAATTTTTTTTTTGTGATGAATGATAAAAATTTGATCGTCCAAATAAATGATCTTCAATAATAAAAAAAGTTTTTTGGAAATAGGAATGCCTAGAAGGACTTAATATTAATAGTTTCTTGAGTTGTCAAGTTCATCTGGTGTAAATAGTTTATCCTTGGAAACAATAATATTGTAAATATAAATCTTTTGAGCTAAACTATTTCTCCAGTAACTCAATTTTAATTATAATATCAAAAAGGAACAACAGTAATATTGGAATTTTTTCCTACAGAAGTTGTTGAGAAACAAGTTTGAAATCTTTTACAGATAATTTTGGAATAGCTCCTAGGGTGAGCGGAAATTGGGAAATAAATATATTATTGGACTTTCATATTTATCTTATATACTTATTGGACGCGTCACGAGCTGTATTTGAAATTGCACGCTCGCAGTATTATCGTTTTTGGTTTTTTTTATATATAGAATTAAGCTTGTAAATATATAAAAAAAGTACGAAGCAAGTATGATTTTATTGTATTGCAAATTATTAAATTAAGCTTATGTAGATACATTTAAAAAATCCGGGTGTATATAAAAAGTACAACGCAAATGTAAACTTGTCGTACCCCAAATTACGACACAAATGCAATTTAATCATACATCAAAGTTTTTAAGTAATCTAGAATTGCTTAGAATTAAATTTGGAGCTAATAAATCAAAAAGCACGACGCGGGGAGCAAAAAAGTGCGCCAGAAGATACATTTTCTCCCTACTGCATCAGTTTCACAGGGGTCTGTGACACTTTACCGACAGGACACTTTACTGATAATCAAAGTAAAGTCGAACTTGACGTAGAAATGGTCTTGCGAGGAACACCACGACCCCCACAGAAACCACAAGATCGTAATCGTGAAATACGGATTCAAACAGTATTAAATGACCGTAACATTAGATCAACTATAAAGTTTCTTCGGGGCATTGCCCATAATATTTTTTTGTGTATATATATGTACATAGAAAATCAGGAAACAAGAAATTTTGCATGCATATTCTACAGGACCTAGGCCACAAATTATGTATACTTATTATGTGTGTTTTCATGTAATTGGTTCTCCGAAAATTTGCTGTAGTGTACTATTTGATCTAATAAAATCTACTTGAATCTACTAAAACAAATAAACAAAGGATAAATTTATTATATCAAAAAAAGAAATAAAGAAACTTTAAAGTAAATGAATAAATATGATTGATTTTGTACTGAGTGATGTATCAAAAAAATTTGCAGCATTAAACTTTATACATTTAATGATATTATTTTGAATAAATTCTTTAAAAACAATGCTGTTTAAATTGACTATATACTACTTGTGTGATTGATTCAATCATTAACACCAAAGGAACAAAATTAATTATTTTGCAATAAAAGCTATTTGTTTGTTTATTTATTGATTTTAATCTCAATGCATGGTTTCTATTCATAATACAATTCCATTTATCTGTTTTATTTGCTTTATCGTTTTATTCTAATTTATTCATTTTATTCGTTTTATTCATTTTATGTGTTTTGTTCTTTTTATTCAAATTCATTTGTTTTATTTGTTTTATTCATTTTATGTGTTTTATTTGTTTTATTTGTTTTATTTGTTTTTTTTTTTTTTTTTGTTTTATTCAAGTAAACCTTATTCAAATAGAAACCTAACTGCTACTCAAGATTATGATATTATTTTAGTACAAAGAGCTTTAGAAATATTTAATCCGATAACTTAATTACAATATAAAGAGTTATTGGTTTATTTAACTAAGCCAATAATTAACTAAAAAATAGGATAAATATTGGCACTTTCAATATTTACTAGTAAGCTTTAGACTATATGATAAAATATTATTAACTTATCAGTATGCCAATACCAAAATTATTTTTTTAAAAATATTGATCAGATATCAGATTCTAATATTTACTGATACCTCATTCGCCTAATTTGGCATCATTTGACCAGTAAAAAGAGAACCAATAGATTATATATAAGCAAAGAAAGATGGGACCCTAAATTAGCACAAAAGAATTTTAAAAACATGCACAAACATAACAGCCTGATAGTTTGATTGGCATAGTGGTGCAGTCTTGCAATTTTTTTCATTTTCTTTCATTAAATTTTATCACATGACGGGATGTGGAATATATTTTTGCAGATCATTCTATAAGATATTTCCTCCGTTTTTTAATAGTAAAAAGATCGACATTTCACTCATTCATAGACGGATCGTCAATTAAATCATAACAGCTTGATAGCTTGATTGACATAGTGGTGCAGTCTTGAAATTTTTTATTGTGTATTTTAAATATAATTAATCATACATCTTTAATAAAACAAACATGACTTAGCTATTTAATCATTTCCTTGTATGTGAATGCCTCCATCCAACAAATATTCATGATGGTCATGATTATTATTCAATACATTTGATATCATCATTGACATAACAAACAATTGCATCACCCAAGTAGTAATAATACCAAGGCCATGCATAAATGAAACTCTTAATAATGCATGTCTACCCAGATCTCTGGGATTCACAAAATAAATTGTTTTTCCTCATTATCAATTATGGTTCCTTATGAATAATAAATCTGATGTTGATCACAGGTGTCAGATTTAATAAAAATTTCCTATCACAAACATGCAATCGCGATGCAATCAAGCACAATTCAGCACCATGGAATATTTTCCACAGGTGAAGGAGGGTTGAACACGTTGGAAGGCTTTGGACAAACTTTTACTTATCTTTCCCTCAGACCAGGCTTGACTGTTATCATATGGGCATTGATCACTGATAGCTGGTGCTTGTGTGATGATTGCTTTGTGTTATACCTCTCCAGTACAAAGTTGGTGTCCGCAACTGATTGAAAATTCTCCAACTCGGAGGTTACAACCTGGGTTGTTGTTTTGGTTTTTCCCTGAATTCGGAGTTTTGGGTCCTGAGTTCTGTCTAAATTCATCAGCAGAGTTGCGACTTGGCCACAGTGCCATCCTTCCCTAGAGGTGAGATCGTCGCAAGCAACTTTTCGGCTAGTGTGCCAGCAGCCTTCTCTGATCTGGGAAGATTAGTGAAAAACATCCTTGACAATTGATGCAATCTCGGCAAACTCCAGAGCTTTGCGCCCCCCCCCCTGAAAATTCAATTGCATCATTGTATCATCGGGAGCAGCGTAGTCAGATTAGCCTTGTGCACATGAGGAATACGTGAGAATGACTGTAAAGTGTTCAAGGCAGTGTGCGTGCTTCAACGTCTGCCAATTTCCGATAATCAAACGTTGCATATTTGAATTGTTTCAGTCATGCTGCCTTGCCTTCTAATTATATAATAATATTATTATTATTACGATTACGCAAAGCAAAATACCAAACATTCATTGTTGATAAGAATCTTATAATTACCCAGCAAGATCTGCTCCGCGTTTTGATTCCAATTAAAATATTTATAAACTAAAATAAAAATATCAATCAGTACAAATAAAAAACAGTATCTCTGGTTAGTTATTAACACGTTTTCTTTAGGAAACTCAAACCAAACCAAACAACAACACTCGTTTTGTCACCTTGAGCTCTGTCAAAAAATTAATTGTTTTCCCCAAAAAAAAAAAAAACAATTTGCGTCTGTCCTCCCAAAAAAAGAACCAATAGGATAAATAATTAATATGTAAGCATGGTGGAAATTCTATTTTTCGTGTAACATAATTATTTATATTGTTTAAAGTAGAATTACAATAGTGTAACCAAATGCCAGGGTAAAGTGTAATAATGAATGTGTATTCAAATTTTGCACATAAACGCCTTCATATATTCTAAGTCTAGATCAGAAAAGATCAGAAATTCCATTGACATTTTATTAGTAAACTTTTTGGTGTGAATATGGGAAGGAAACGAAGCAATTTTGGACCTTGTGAAATTTGTAATTTTAGCAATTATGAAAACACTACCTTCCAGAAGTTAAATGAAGATTCCTTACGAAAAGTTTTGTCTAATAACAAAGAGAATTTATGTGTTTTAGAAATAGGTTCACAGTTATGCCATAAATGTTACAATGATCTTGTAGTATATGATAGGAATGATAAGAATAATAATAATAATGATGATGAAAATTTTTGTTTAAAATTACCATTACATGAAAAAAAAAGAAAATTTATTTTACATGAAGCTGAATATAATGAATTAATAAATAAATCATCAGAAAATATTCAACTTAAGGCAAATATTCAATTTATACAAAATGAATTAGACCAATTAAAAGAAAATTTTGATGAATTATTTTTAATATCAGGCAAATAATTTATATTTTAAATATAATATAAAAGCATCAAAAAATTTTACATTTTATATATATGTTTATTATACTTATTTTAATATTACTGTTTATTTATTTTTAGAAGAAACAAATTTTTGTAAATATTTTACAAAAGAAATAGAAATTTTAACAAAAATTTTATACAATGCTCAACATAAGGAAAAAATAAATCCAATCTATAATGTAAACAATTTTATGGAATATGTGAGTAATAAACATCCTGGATTTGTTCATTTTTTTAATACATTAGTTTAATCAACAAATATTAAAAATAAAAATCAAAAAACAATTGAAAGTATTAAAAAAAAAATTATGGTATTAATTTACCAGTTAGTAAGTATTAGAAATAAACATTGTACTTATTTTAAAGATGATATGGGATTGTTT